TGGTATTTTAGCAGCTGCTCTCTTGATCCGATGCATGGATTTGGCAGAAATCTTCCTCAATGTGCCTTTATCTGCATGAACCCGTCTGTGCTCTGAATCAGCCACAAATCTCTTAATAGTGCGATGATCACGCTTACGTTTTTGTGAAATATCTAATGTTTTCATACCTCGTCCAAGGCATTGAACTATTTCACTCTTTTCGGCAGCAGAGAGATCCTTTTTCTTCCCCATATTGCTTGAAAATGGTGCTCTGCTTTATAATGTGGAAATCCTCCTTTAGTAGTTTTTCCTTAAATCGGGCTCACCGGCCAATCTAATTATCACAGGAGTCCGAGATTGTTTTCAGTGATCACAAGAGCCCTAACACACAATGCCATCCATGAGTTAAACTGAAAAACAAAATATTTAATCTTTGTGACACTTAAATAGAATTTGCATAATAATTTGGAACACGGTGTACACTGAACATGTGTGATGTACACACAGGAATTTTTTTTCTTCTCCATAGAAAAGGGATAATTGTTGCTTGCTTGTGTGCAATAGGGGTCTTAAGGGATGTCCAACATGGCCTAATCGTTATAGACATTGCTCGGGTAAAACTGACATTAAGCCTTGTTAGGGGAGTTTTCTGAAAGCAGAGGGTCTGTATGCAAGATTATAAATTAAGCCCCCTCGCTCGTGAACAGGAAAACATAGCATGCGCAGTGCACTGTGGCAAAATGCGGATGTATTTCTAATTGTTCTGAATATTCGGTGTTGCTTAAGAAAGTGTGGTTAAATAGAGACTCAGTTGACATACATAGTATAGAATGAGACAGTGTTGAATAGGGACTGTACAGCACAGTATCTGTGGAGGGGCCAGGGGCAAGTTGGGGCATCTGTACAGGGGTTAGTAGTAAGCGTCTTATGGACCCTGACCTCTGCATCATTTGCTACTGACCCTTGAACTCTGTGTCACTTACTACTGACCACTGCACTGCTACTTACCTCTGAACTCTGCATTATTTACTGTTTACCCCTGAACTCTGTGTCACTTACTACTGATCACTGCATTGCTACTTACCTCTGAACTCTGCATTATTTACTCTTTACCCCTGAACTCTGTGTCACTTACTACTGACCTCTGAACTGCTACTTACCTCTGAACTCTGCATTATTTACTCTTTACCCCTGAACTCTGTCTCACTTACCACTGACCACTGCACTGCTACTTACCTCTGAACTCTGCATTATTTACTCTTTACCCCTGAACTCCGTGTCACATATTACTGACCTGTGAAGTCTGTGTCACTTACTACTGATCACTGCACTGCTACTTACCTCTGAACTCTGCATTATTACTCTTTACCCCTGAACTCCGTGTCACATATTACTGACCTCTGAAGTCTGTGTCACTTACTACTGACCACTGCACTGCTACTTACCTCTGAACTCTGCATTATTTACTCTTGACCCCTGAACTCTGTGTCACATATTACTGACCTCTGCAGTCTGTGTCACTTACTACTGACGCCTGAACTCTTGTCACTTACTACTGACCTAACCTCTACATCACTACTGACCTCTGAGTCACTTACTCCAGAGTTTAGGGGTCAGTAGTAAGTTATGCACAGTTCATGGGTCAGTAGTTAATGATGCAGAGTTCAGGGGTCATTAATAAGTATCATAGAGTTCACTGGTCACGAGTGACAGAGAGTTCAAGCATCAGGAGTAAATAATGTAGCGTGCAGAGGTCAGTAGTGGCACAGAGGTCAGTAGTAAGTGACCCTCTGTCTCACAGACCAGTTAAAGAGCTCTCCTCTGCACAGCTTACTGCTGTATCTCCTCTCATTGGACGCTTTACAGTACCCAGTGTACTGCAGATCAGGCTCATCTCCCTCTCCTTTTCCCTGGTCTAGTGGGTGGGGCTAAATCACAGCCAATCACAGCCTTGCTACAGGAACCCACAAAACTGCTGCAGCTGCCTGTGACAAGTGCAGCTGCAGCTGAGGCACAGAAGGGGGTGCTAATGGTGTTTCCCCACACTTGTTGTGCAAGGTGTGAGGCACAATGGGCCCCACCCCTATGGACACACATTACACCCATGGAGGATATGCCACTGGGCCTTGTATACCAATCCCTACTCAATAAATTCAGTTAAATATACAGTCAAAAATGATTACATTTTGTTCCAAAAGTGTATCTAAACCCAAGAACAAATGTGTTTTATTGCAGCTTACCAGCCCTTAGAAGTGGTGGCTTTGTATCTATGAAAAAATCCACAGTTGCCACATAGTCTGGACTTCAAACATGCCTGCCTCATACTTTCCATCATTATTCTTCAGGCTTCTTTCTCCTCTATCTGTACATGGTTATCCAGCCAGTGACACCTCCCCCTCTCCTCACCTCCATAACATAGGATGGATGTTTTATAGTCCTTACACGCCTCTTGACAACCTTGTTTGAGATAAGACAGCAGATTGCACAAGACAAGGGACAGTAGTAGATTCATAGCAGGATAAATAGGTATTATTTTGCATTTATTGAACAGATACAACAAAACACTTTCACTGATGTATTTGACAGACCAATAAGGAGCCAATTAGAGAACTTCATTGTTAGGGTTTACATGTACTTTAAATGCAATTGTCACGGAAACCACCATGACATGGGCTCCTGGAGGGGCCTGGGTGCCAGCCTCCTTCCCACTGACTATGGACCCAGGACTAAGGAGGCCTCCAAAAGGGTTATATTATTTCCCTGGGTACCTGACTGGCTCGGACTTATACCAGCTATACCTTTTCATGCAATTAGGGCTGGAGGGACTGTTTCTGGGACCCCTTGGCCTACTGTGCATAGTGGAACTTTGTGCAGGGGGTGAATTCAAGCATATATGGAATATGGAATAAAGAAATTGTATTTTCTGTTACAGGTTTCCTAGAACCAACTATTGTTTGCTGTAATTAGGTTTAGGTGATAAGCTTTCACTTTGTTTAATCGTCTTCAGTGTCCAGACTGCTAGGTGCCAGGAAGGAATCCATAGTTTTTTTTGCATTTCATTGTTTATTTGTTTATGTAATGTAATTTTCTCCTGGGACTTGTAATGTGGGTTATATCTGTCAAGGGGGAAGGTTTTTCTGTATAAATGCTGTGCTGACTGGCTTTTATTAAAATTCAGTCCTTGTTTTACTTCAACATTGGCTCTCTCTGGTGCTTGGGGTAAATTTGCTATATACCCAGATACTCAGTCGGGATGTCAGGCAGTATGTCCTAGCAACTAGCTAAGTGTCTGTATTAGCCGTGATATCAGTGTTTTGTCATGCCCTACCCATCAAGAGTGGAACAGGGAGAGCCAGCATCTATATTGTCCAGTTAGCAGGTCAAGGGTGTGTCTTCATTGATCTGTGCTCTTTCAGTAAGTGTTATAGAAGAGGTGTGCGGTTTCCACTAACATGGTTTCACAGCAACTAAACTTTTGGCTGAAGACATTGTAGGTTCACCACCACAAATAAGCAATCATTTTTTTTCTTAGTATTGCAGTCTCTTATGTATATGTGCTCCACAACTCCACTTCTATTCATGTGAATAAGCTACCACTTATGTGAAGATCACCACATGCCACCACTATAACCACTTCCGTGCCACCCTATAGCAGAAATACTGCTACAGGGCGGCGCGGGTGTGCAAAATCACGTATATACCCAAAATCCTACCCGTGCCACCATTTGCAGCCTCGGTTGTCAAACACTGGGTCCCAGACGGTGATTCCCCACCGGCACCCGGTGATCTCCTAGGATTTCTGGTAGGGGAGAGACCTGTATGTAAACAATACAGATCTCTCCCGTCAGCTTCTGCACACTGCTTTGTATGGCTCTGCCATATAAAGCAGTGTGCTTACAATGAAACACAGCACACAGCCCACATAGTAAAACAGCACACAGTTAACCCTTTGATCGCCCCACATGTTAACTCCTTCCTGCCCAGTGCCATTAGTACAGCATCAGTACTTTTCATTAGCACTGATCACTGTATTGGTGTCACTGAGGATGTTAGTGATACCAAGTCAGTTCCCTCCCAGTGTCAGAATGCCTGCCGCAGTCCCGCTATAAGTCGCTGATCGCCACCATTACTAGTAAAATAAATTTTTTTTAAAAAATCAGTATATATACCACAATTTGTAAACGCTATAACTTTCATGTAAACCAATTACTTTACACGTCTTGGAATTTTTTTTTTAACAAAGACATGTAGCAGAATACATTTTGGCATAAATTTATGACGAAATTTGATTTTTAAAATTTTTTTACTGGACATGTTTAATAGCAAGAAGTCAAAAATATAGTTTTTTTTTTTTCAAAATTGTCGGTATTTTTTTGTTTATAGCGCAAAAAATAAAAAATGCACAGGCCATCAAATACCACTGAAAGAAAGCTCCATTTATGGGAAAAAAAAGGACGTAAATTTCATTTGGGTGCAGCGTTGCATGACTGCACAATTGTCAGTTAATGTAATGCAGCGCCGTATCACAAAAAAGGGCCTGGTCAGGAAGGGGAGTAAATCCTCTGGAGAGCAAGTGGATAGCCACCATATGCACCATATTATTTCTCTTTTTTTCCATTTTATATATTTATTTATTATTTATTTATCTGTTTCTATATTGGCTTGTCCTTTTTTTATGGGATATTTTGGTATATATAGATTGGAAGGAGGTGTGTGGAACACTTTTGAGTAGTAGCTGCAACCAAAAATATATATCATGTGATATGAATATAGAAAATAGTATATACACTCATTGTGATTGTGCAGCACGCTTGTATTTAATGACTCTCAAAACTGTTGGCATACCGAACCTAAGCAAATCCCTAGTTAGGTTAGCCGCTTGCCCGCCGCCCTATAGCAGAAATAATGCTACAGGGTGGCAGGGCTGCGCAAAATCACATATATATACATGATTTGTATTTGCAGGTAGGAAGTGTGCACGCCACCCTACCAACACCACCATTGGCGGCTAGGGATGTCAATCACCGGGTCCCAGATGGAGATTTCCTGCCAGCACCCCTGGCGATCGTCGGGGAAAGCTGACAGGGGAGAGACCTGTGTGTAAACAACACAGGTCTCTCTCCTGCCAGCAAGGTCATGCTGCTTTGTATTTCTCTGAACAGCACAGAAATACAAAGCAGCATGTCTCCATTGTAAAACGGCACACAGCACGCAGTTAACTCTTTGATCGCCCCAGATGTTAACCCCTCCCTGCCCAGTGTCATTAGTACAGTGTCAGTGCTTTTTATTAGCACTGATCACTGTATTAGTATCACTGGGGATGTCAGTGGCAGTTAGTCAGTTCCCACCCAGTATCAGAATGCCCACCACAGTCCCGCTATAGATAGCTGATTGCTGCCATTACTAGTATAAAGAAAAATAAATAAAATTCCAGTATATGTATCGCAGTTTGTAGACGCTATAACTTTCACATAAATCATTTACTTTACACATATTGGGATTTTTTCTAGCAAAATACATTTTGGCCTAAATTTATGATGAAATGTTATTTTTTAAATGTTTTTACTAAATATGTTTTATAACAAAAAGTAGAAAATATTGGTTTTTTTTCAAAATTGGCAGTCTTTTTTTGTTTATAGCGCAAAAAATAAAAAACACACAGGTGATCAAATACCACCGAAAGAAAGCTCTATTTGTGGGAAAAAAAGGACATAAATTATACAGCATTGCATGACCACGCAATTGTCAGTTAATGTAACGCAGCGCCATATTGCAAAAAATGGCCTGGTCAGGAAGTAGGGTAAATCCTTTGCAGTGCAAGTGGCTAAAGTCACTTGTTTTCTTGGGAAAATTAGTGGCATCATGATCAACCTAACTTGCAACCCTAGGTGAGGTTGAGGATCTGGCTAAGCTCTTTAGCATGGGTATGTGGATCCCAGTGGAGCACAAATTTTCCATTGGAATAAATGGAGATTGCTATATGCATGCACAGGAAGATCTGGCCCTGACAGTCAAGATTTTCAAGAAGAGGCTATGCCAGATTGAAAAGGCTGGAGATGACAATGGGTAACAATGGTGTTTCTGCTTTGTAGAATAAAATATATCTTTGTAGTGGCGTGATCATTTTGTGCTTAAATTAGAGTTGTGATTTAACACTAAACATGGAAGTGATAGAAAATCACAAATTTTGGGTTGTCACCATAACAAGAATAGAAGGGAAATCTTCCAACAGGGATACTAGTTCTGGTGATTCTTGTATTACACTATTTAATTAATTATTATTATTTCTCTGTAACCATCACTTGTTTATTATTGCTCTGTGTCTTTAAGCTGTCTCCTCCTGTCTAAGCTGAGCTCTTTCTCTCACCATACTTGTGTATACCCCTCCCACCTGCCTCTCTCTAGTAGTCACTCCACTGTATCCTGTCTTCCTGTATGCATCTTTCCATGATGCTTATAACATTAATGTTTTTCTACCTATGATTATCCTCCATTAAACAAAACATTCAAATGCTTTTCCGCATCTGACTTCCTCAACATGTGAGTTTATTCATTGAGTTAAACTGTCTGACCTGATGCAAGAGATATATTCAACATCACGTTGTATAGCTGTATACATCGCTGGAGATAAAGTTTATGGTCTTGTAGTTGAGTCAGAACAGTGACCCTAGTGACAACCAGGGATTCCTTCACTTTCAAATCCTGTTTTGGCTATAGAACAGGAAGTGAAGGGAAATCTCCCAAAGAGGACACAGATCATAAAAAACCAGGGGTTATAACCCTCTCTTACTCAATACAAAACAAAATATAAAAAAAAAAGAAGTTTTGCCTTAGCAATTCCACTTTTGCTGAGAAAAAATAATTCCCCTCTGGGTGATCTATGTATATTGCAAGGATTTTAACAAACTGTGTTGCAGTATTCTACCATTTGTTATTCTGAAGAATTAGTTGTTTGTTTGTGTCCATTTTAAGAGTGAATCTGTATGGTAGTGATTTCATAATTATCAATCAGCTGCTGCACCTACAGGGCTCTAATGAAGAACACTGCAAGTTCTGCATCCCTTTAGACGTGACTTCCCTTTGGGAGTATCTCACCAAAAAGGATATTTTTGTTGCATGGGATACCAAAAATCAAACTTGTATCTTAGAGCAGACTTCTATGAAAATAAGCAAGTCAATCACACAAGCACAAAATGACATTTCTGGAGGGTGTTTTGTACACCATCTGTGTACAGAATTCCTCGAGGTAGGCATATTACATTGCATTTTGCAGAAAATTACAGATTGAAAAGGAAAGGTAATTTTTAATAACATTTAAATACAATTTGGCCTGTGTCACAATTGTATACACTATGTCACTATTTTTTTATTTGCTATTTTTTTCCCATGAAAGTTTTGTTACCATTCAAGTTCAACTTTAATATGTTGTGTACAGATTCATATTTCATAGGCACATATAAATTTCCCACAATGTTGGAGTTATCAATTGCTTTATTTGGTTATATATGTTAAAAAAGACACATTTCCATCAAGTTCAACTGAAAGACAATAAATTAATAGATAAATAAACCTGCATTTTCATGACCCTCAGATATTCCACCTCTAGCTGACGTCAATGGTTTCAATGGTTTATAAACTAAACTGCAGGCCACAAAATATAAAAGCGTAGTGTATTACAGCTTCCAATTTCTGGTATGTTCCACACTAGACGGGTTAATGCCAAAAGATACGGACCAAGTGAAAACAGGTGCTGGTGCAGAGGCAGTGAGATTGCTATATAGATGATGTCAGAAGATTTACAGTTAATAGACTCTTGGTGATTACATGAGGGCCAGGGCTAAGTGCTGCATGCTTCCCCAACACTCCTTTACAGCACTTAAGGCTCTGTGACACTCTGAATCTGTCATTATAACCTGCCGTCAATCCATGGTCTAAATATCAAGTGTAGAAGACTGATCACTAAATACTTTGTATAGGTGTTTTTTCCCCATCCGCTATTTCCATTATATACATCTCACCTTAGATCAGTCTCCTTGTGAGCAATGTACATGTCCTCACGTCAACTCTCCTTCCATGTGATATGCCAGCATGCCATAGTTGCTTATTTCTGAAGGAAATCAGATTTATATCTGCTGCTATGAGCAGATCTCTTTTCTGAACAAACAAGAAAACTTTTAATGAAATGCGACTTCCTCATTTTAGAAATAAAGCAAATAAATTGCTTGCGTTCTACTATATATGCTTATGTATTCATTTAGATGCTACCTTATTTTATGTAAAGGTAAAACTGAAACAAGTTCATGGGGAAGAATAAGCATCTGTTTGCCATTGACTTTAATTACAATTTGAGTGTTTATTTTTATTTATTATAGTAAAGTATATTGCTTCAACAATTTATACATTGTTTTACATACTGTAAATTCACATCAGTCCCTGTCCTCATTGAGTTTACAATATGAGGTATCTATCTCACATTCATACATATGCGTACTGGAACCAATTTAGACAGGAGGCAATTAACCTACCAGCATGCCTTTGGAGTGTAGGAAGAAACCGGAGTACCCAGAAGTCAATGCAAGACAGGGAGAACATGCCAGCTTCGTGCAGATAGTGTCTTGGTTGGGATTCAAACCAAGGACCCCAGTGCTGGAACGCAGAAGTGCTGAGTGTGGTTATGTTTTGAATGCTTAAAACCCCATTCAGTGCAGAAACAATTTTTTTTTACAAATCCTCCCTCATACCTACCTCTGACCTATTTTATTAGGCTTTTTTCCTTACCTTGTGAAGCCAGATATACACATCTAGTCCCCATCCATGTTCCATGCTTCCACTGTATCTGGGAGGTTGACTGCTGATTCGGTGCAACAATGCCCCCCCTGAGATGGCCGCTCCCCTCCAATTCACTCCTCTGACTCCATCAGACTCCTGAGAGGATGCTGCTGCAGGCCATCCAATAGGAAGTGTTCACATCAGGCAGCCGCTGACATGAACACCAGAAGAAGGACCCAACCAGGAACTAAACAGAAGAGGAAAAGACTGGGACCAGAGTACAACATGACTGCTGCTAAAGGGCTGTCAGACAGAGTTGTTATTTTATAAAATGGCAATTAATTTAAGGCTGGTGGGTGGGATAGGGAGGATAATTCAAGTACCGTTCTTAGGTGGAGGTGGGGTAGGCTTCCCTGAAGAAGTGAGTTTTCAAAGATCGCCTAAAGGCAGACAGGGTGGGGGCTGACCAGACATGCTGCGGTAGGGAGATCCAGAGGATGGGAGAGGCTCTGGAGAAGTCCTGGAGGCGAGCATGGGAGGAGGAGATGAGGGAGCTATATATATATATATATATATATATATATATATTCATTTTTTATGATCAGATAATCTCTGTTCTCTGCTGCATAAGGGGCTTAGAGAGGTGGGGGTGGAGAGGTGGAGACTGAGAAATAGAAATACACTGATCATCCCAGCAAAGAGCTGTACAGGGGCGGGAGGGAGTTGGTGTCAGCACAAGTCAAGTCAAGGCCACTGGAGAACAGGCAAGCTGTTCTCCCAGCACAGCCCGAAAACTGACCACACTGGGATGGATGTGCTTCTATGTCTAGTGTGGCCAGTTTGAAATTGCGAAGCAGAGGGACTGGCAGGAATACCAGGTATTTCACACAAAGGAGGCAATGCAAAAAAAACTAGGATACTTTTTAATACAAGTACATGGTACAAAAGACACATATCAGGATTATGAAATGTTAGGATAGCATACACTTGAAGAGACAAGTTAAAGGTTAAGTGTATTGTATTTGGGGGAATATGTGTTAAGGACTCATTGTAGAGATTAGGTTAAAGTAGAAGTCACCCTTACATAGAATACTTAATTTTGTAGTGTAATGTACATTAACCTCCTCATTACCGCGATATAGCAGAAAGATGGCTACAGCATGGTTCTCTTGTTCTGGGAGGGTGTCTGTAGACATCCTCCAAAAATGCACCTTGCAGCCTCATCAATGCCCATCAATGTAGCCTCATCAGTGCACATCATTGCAGCCTATTAGTGCCCATTAGTTCAGCCTCATCAGTGTACATCAGTGAAGAAAAAAAAAATTATTATCTGCAAAATAACAAATAACAAAAAGGAAGTAGAGGGGTTTTTCTTCTTCAAAAAAAAACCCCTGTTTGCTCTTTTTCCGTTTGTTTAGCAAAAAAATTAAAAACCCAGTGGTGATTAAATGCCACCAAAAGAAAGCTCTATCTGTCTAAATAAAATGATAAAAATTTCATATCGGTACAGTGTTGCATGACTGCGCAATTGTCATTTAAAATACGACAGCGCTGAAAGCTGGCCTGGGAAGGAACGGGGTGAAGTGGTTAAATCAGATTACATTTGTTTGTGA